GCGCATAAGCACTACTGGAAGGGTGAAGGCCCTGAACCAGGCTCCTGGAAAGATAAGACTCCGGAGAAGCATCAAACCTCGAAGCTACCGGCCCTGACGGCCAGATGGCGCTGCCTATAGTTCACAGGGGAGGAGGTCTCCATACCCTCCACCCATGTAGCGCTCCCCCTCGGAGGGAGAGGACGACGGGGGTAGGACTATGATGATGGCCCCGAGTGGCACCATGAGACGGAGGACAAGCCCACAACAGGGACACCAACGACCGTGGAAGAAGAGGTTGTCTTGTGGAATGCGTTAAGCAAACCCCTGTTCGACCCTCGGTCTGGGTTTTTCTTTGGAAGGGTCTCTGCCCGACCACCTAGCACCATCGGTGCGTTTCTGGTCTGCAGGCTGCTGGCTTGGGAAGCCCGCAGAATATTTTGAGCATTATAACCAGACCAGTGCTCCTGAACAAGGTAGCCATGACCCCAGACTGCGTCCCCGAGGAGGCACTGTGGCTTAGCTGGTTAAAGCGCCTGTCTAGTAAACTAGAGATCCTGAGTTCAGCTTTCTGCAGTGCCTAGGTTCTAATTTACAATCTGCACTGACAAGTCGAGTACTCATCTCTATACGAGGGAGTTGTTCTAACGGTACATACAATGAAGTATAGTATGCGTGCAGTTTTATACAAAATAACTTAACAGAGGCATATTTAATGCTCCAACCAGTATTTTTTATAGTTTTTGGACCCCTTGCCCCGGAATTACATGTTTGTCCCCACTCTCGGATCACATACCAGACGGGACCCCGAGTTGGGTGGTTACAGACTGCCCCATCTTAAACGCAATTTGACCATTGGAGGTGCTGGGCCATGGCTGGAAGGCTTAGGATTGAGAACGAGGCTTACTCACAGGGCAACTACCGAGTCCCAGTTTCATGTTGGAACGGGGCTGCACGCTCTATTTGCTGGTTTGGCCTTATTAATTCGGCGCCCTGCACCACAGAGGGCCACGGCCCTCATACGCAAGGAACACAGCTATTGGACTTGGGACAAAGGGATCTGAGCCCCCTTTTTTGAGCCCCCTAACGAGATTGCACATGAAAGTAAATTTGTTTGTTGCATTGAATTATACGTGGTCTTCGGGGGATTTCTGGGGACCGCAGGGTCCATTTCTGGTGAGGTGGGCTTAACTTTTCTACCTGGTGAGGTAAGTATCTGGTGCACCATCCATTGGGTGATATTACAGCCCTGGAGGTCAGGTTGGATGATTTTTGGGCATTCAGGAATACCAGAGTTATCTGAAGATACCCCTTTTGAATTTTTCCACGCATTGGACCCGGGCGCGCTGCTTCCCCGATTTGGATGTTTCGCTGTACGATCTTCCTGGACGGGCGGCTGAACCCTCTGTGAGGTTCCTGCCAAGCCGACATGTCAGGCGCACTCTGCGTTTCACTTGTTCGAGTCCCTGGATTTTGTGTTCGACCAAGGAAAATCGACACCCCTACATCACGAGGAGCAGAGTCCGGGAGTTCAGATTGGACGCAAAGGGATGCCTCCTATGCCTCCCCCTGCCCGAGTCCTCGAACGTTTGGAAAGGTTTTGGGGAGGACTCTGCGTCAAGACCGGAGTCCACTGAGGATGTTGGACACGTATGGTAGACCTACTCTCCATGTCAATTATGGGACATGTCCAGGCAGTTTCGTTACAGGGCCACGCAGGCCTCACTTCTTCCTCACGGGCCTTTCAGCGTCCGAATAATTTCCGAGTTGGAGATGGTTCGGAATTCAACAGCAACTGACTGGGACGGCTTGCGGGATCTTTCGCGAGTCTGAGTCTGGCTGAGGCTTTTTCCGATTGCTGCATCCTCATTCGGACAAGCTAGGCAGCGGGGGTGCACGGCATCATGCGCCGGGGTGGAGCCCGCCGTTGGATGATTATCAGGCCCTGACCAGTTTCAGCTAGCTGACAGACCTGTTCAGCTGGCTGACAGACCTGTTTTCTCAGTGATGGACACTTCCCTCCAGGGGTGTTCGGCACGGTGATGCTGATGAGTTTACTCTGTTTGTTTTGGTCCTAAGGCCTTAATGCAAGTTACTCAGTCTGCTGGTACATTGGTCTTCGCTACAGCAGAGTCAAACCCTGGATTCCCTGGACCTATCCCATTTGGACCCGGGGACTGGAAGACGTTTGTCTGCATGGCGACCCTGGTGTAGTTGGGCCCAGAATGGACTACTGATTTTTGAAAACCCTGTTACAGGGTTCGAGAAATTTCTGTCACATTTGTTGACCGGGGACAGTTGTATCGTTTAGATTAGGTAACTTGAACGACTGTTTTGACGTTCCACGCACTGCTTAGAATTTCCCTTCGAGCAGGACTTACAGGTTTGTAGGGGTATGAGTACCTTACGATTCCCGAGGACAGGTATTCATTTACCAGGGGGTACACACATTTTTTGTCGTGCTTTGTTAGCCGGTTTGTTTGTTCGTAGGGATTTTGAAATATCTCCCTGAGTGGTCTTACCCCCCCTTCCCCTAACCCCCTCATTGCTGTGAAGGAGTGTGTGGTCCACCTCTAGTAGGTGCAGATCAATTTAAATAAGCCCTCGTGGTCCTGCACAGCTAGTGATACATAACACACACAGTTGAAACATACATATCAAAAACAACCATGTGCATACAAAAAAAAAACTAAAACAGATACATCACACACCCAGTCACCGACATCACACAGATCAAGAAAAAGACACAACACACAGTCAAAATAAAATGGATAAACAAAAAATAGTGTACCTGAGGGGAGGAGGGGAAAAACTGGGAAATGATAAACTCTAATAAAAGTGACAGCTTTTCACCATATGTTGGGAAATAAAATAAAAAAGAAATACATTTTATTAATATATTACAAACGTACTTCTGTACAACAGGTGAGTGGTCTTATCGGCAAAACAATAAATAAAAAGTCTCTATAAGATAGAAGATATAGCCAAGATCCATATGCTAACTGTAATAGTAGATGTAGTAAGGGTTAACCGGGCAGTATAGTGCAGATATCAGGTCTAGACTATTAAAGTAATAACAGTAAATATCCTTGGTGCTAAAGCGGCACCTAATACCTAGGTCTTAACTATTAGAGTAATAACTGTATATTAACTTGGTGCTAAGATGTCATCCAATGTCTAGACCAGCAACTCTTAAGTAAAAAGGTAAAGAGACTTGTTAATTTAATATTTAGACAAAATAATTAAATAGGTCAGCTCACTGTCCTACGAGCATTTTGCAGTGTAGGTGGAATAAAAAATCTTAGTACTTCATGTTTACAATGCAGATTAATATATTTCTGTAAAAGCAGGAAAAGTACTGTCCTTTTTATGTTAATATTTTGCAGTAATAATTGAAGAATATGCTAGCTTTAGTGTACTAATAATCTTAAAGGACCACTCCAGGCACCCAGACCACTTCAGCTTAATGAAGTGGTCTGGGTGCCAGGTCCTTCTAGGGTTAACCCATTTTTTTATAAACATAGCAGTTTCAGAGAAACTGCTATGTTTATCAATGGGTTAAGCCTTCCCCTAATCCTCTAGTGGCTGTCTCATTGACAGCCACTAGAGGCGCTTGCGTGCTTCTCACTGTGATTTTCACAGTGAGAGCACGCAAGCGTCCATAGGAAAGCATTGTAAATGCTTTCCTATGCGACGGGCTGAATGCGCGCAGCTCTTGCCGCGCGTGCGCATTCAGCCTAGGAGGAGAAACGGAGGAGGAGAGAAGGAGAGCTCTCCGCCCAGCGCTGGAAAAAGGTAAGTTTTTCCCCCTTTCCCCCTTCCAGAGCCGGGCGGGAGGGGGTCCCTGAGGGTGGGGGCACCCTCAGGGCATTATAGTGCCAGGAAAACGAGTATGTTTTCCTGGCACTATAGTGGTCCTTTAAGTTTAATAATGACAGGAAGCGAGTATTTTGCATAACTCTCTTTAGTAACTCCATACAGCAGTAAAGAAACAAATAGAAAAAAGAACCAATCACAGGAGAGCAGGATGTACATAAGGCAATGTGACCTCATCATTTCCTCTTTCAGAAAGTGACAACAAGCAGAAGTAAATATATAGCAAACAATAAAACTAATAATAACTCCAAATTCCCATGTGCGAAGGAGCAAACTTCCAAAGAATTCTATACGAACACGAAAAAGAGTTCAGGGTTGAGACAAATCCAAAGGATAAAATCTCCTATAGTTTCACGTGAACTGCCAATTATCTTCAGAGACGAATCATACTGAAAAGAGAATGTGTGACAGGTTTAGACATAGTCACTAACATGTAACTCCAATTAACGTACCACCTAACATCCCATTGGAGAATATAGTAACTATAATCTGATAACTGAGTAATTGTAATGAGAACTCTAATGAGGATTCCATATTAATGGAAGTACGAACATATCATATAAGCACTAATGTGAGAGCCTTAGCCCCTGATATCTGCAAAGCAAACGAATAGAAAGGGTGGGCAGCGAAGCGGGGGGGGGGGGAAATACTCGCCTGTCATTATTAAAATTAAGATTATTAGTACACTAAAGCTAGCATAATCTTCAATTTTACCACATGACAGAAGGCTTCGTATTTTGCATTTTTAACGCTGAGAAAAGAGTATAGAACTGAATAAGAGTCCTACGGTGTGCCGAGAGACCCAGTATTCGGCGTTGTGGGTAGGTCTTCCCCATTGAGCGCCCACGTATACACCATCTAACAGGAAATTATGCAAGACCAAGTCTGATCTGACCGTTTGTCAGCAGGATGTTTAGTCCTGTAGAGTGAAAGGAGATGAGCTCCTCAACTCATAAGCTGGAGAGGTATGACATTGGGTAGTTGGTATCCTAGAGGATCCTAGTCCCTTGGGCGTCCTCACGTAGTGATATGGGCTGCAGCTCCGTCTCCATCCTCAAATAAGGGATCAAGATGCAGGATCAAACCAGACAGGCTGGGAATGTCCAGATGTAGGGGTAGGGTCGCATCCCTGAGTTCCCATATTCCCAAGACGTCCCCGGCAGCCTGTGATCATCCGCTGACCTGCCAAGAAACCCCCAAAGCGGGTCCAGGTCCCCAGGTAGCCGACCCTCCCAGGATAGAAGATGTGAGTACCCTACGACTCTGTGAGGAATTGTCGGTCATGAATGTAGCAGGAGAAGATCCTCGCCTGCTCGAGAATTTCTGTAGACCTTGTAAGCATGAGAAGCATAAGACCTTCGGGGAGGTCCGGTCGGATGGAGCGCGATCACCATCGTGCCTCGACTTATACTGTGACGAGTGGTAATATCCAAATCAGTCGGCCCCTATGAGATGTGTCTCCCCTGGGAGACGGGTTGATCTTCTGTGAAGAAGACGGGGTTTGAAGGAGCCTACGTGTTGTCTGATAAATGTGAGTTGGTCCATCCCGGTGGATGTGAAACCTGACAGCCTAATCTGTGGTTACCTGCAGTAGGGTGCAGCCGATCTAGTACTTCTTTATCAATCCATGTATTGTTAAGTATAGGACCAAGAAGTCTAGGTATACAACGTACAGGGTCGCGGTGGTGCCGCGGAGAGTCGTGCGAATATTCCCAAGTCATGGAATAGTCTACAAATCCTCTGAGCGAATAGTCTTCTACAAGTCTGGAGGTTCCAGCTGGTTTTCGGATGAACATGGGTGTTGACGAGTTTTCAGTTTCTGGAGTGATCTGAATTAGGTTCTCCCGGAAGAGAGTGTCTTGTCTTCCCCGCCTGTATTCATTACTTATTTCGGTAGTTTATCAGGGCCCACCAGGCTCCGAGCTACTGGATCGGGAAGGAGAGGATGTCCCCTAAAAACTAGGTAAGGTGGTCGAGCGGAAAGGTAGAAGACCGTCCTGACGTGTCTTTAGGTCCTGAACGCAAGTCAGTTGACTACGTGAAAGTAGTCTTCCCCAGGATTGAGTGCCTTTCACCTAGATGTGGTGAAATCCCCTGTTGATGTAGTAGGAGGTATCTGGAGCACCATTGGTTGACTCTCGCTCTATATGGGTAATAGAGCTAGCGGTAGCGGATCTCGGGTCAGATGTCACGAAGCGGTCGACGATTGGCTCTGTTGCCAACTGGTTCCAAAGAATGCCTTGTAAAGGTAATCACATAACACCTCCCTCCTAGGGGTTTGGGCCCTTATGAAAGCCGTGGGACCCTTGCGTGTCTAATAAGTTCCCTTTGGAACTTTGTGCCTTGTGTCTGGGGTTCCGACTATCTTGGCGCCCAGTACCACCAACCATCCGTCAGTGCGGAGGAGTGCTGCGATGGGCATCCTATGGGAGAGGCCAACACTGGGGTTTCCTGTGAGGAGCAGAAACAGTTTTTTGAGTCCATATACCCAAGTTGTATGCCCGTTCCCGGACGATGTTTGGTGGCATCCAGCATTGCCCATGGTAAGGTCATAAATCTTGAAAGACCTCCTCCGTTGGTCACTATAGTCATCTGAGCCGTTCTGACCGGCGTGGAAGGGCATGGGTTTGGCCGACCGTCAGCGGATATGGACATTCTAAGCAAGAGGCTGCAAAGCCCCGAGTGCATAATGTTGTCAAGTAGGTTTATCGTACTAAGGGATACCCCTGTGTAAGGCACAAACCAGTATTCAGGCACTGGATGCAGGGCAAACAGATCAGTCTACTATGACAGTAGGCAGTGTTCACGGAAACCCTTGTGGGTCTTATTCCAAATCGTGGCCAAATAAAACAGACTGGGGCTCACCCAGTACATAGAGGTTGCCATAGTATTGCCTCCGCTTAGCAGCGCACGTATAGTGGGGGCTCACCCCAGGTGCACAGGGTATGAACCCTTAAGTGCTGGCCATCGCCCTGATAGAGAGTGTCAGTCACCTCTTCCATAATTAAAGTGCACACGTAGCCGGGCCCGGTGCATAGGGCGTGAGCCTTTAACTGCAGGCCACAGAATAGGTACAGGGCATAAACCCGTACTGTATCATGATTCATTATCAATGGAGGTATTCCTTCAGCTGTAGGTAGAGGCTGTTGCCGTAAGACTTCCTTCGTTCGGGTAGTGTGACTCTCCTATCGTAGGGGTCTCACCCCAAGAGCACCGGGTCTGAACCTGTAAGTGCCGGTCCCAGATCCAAAGTTTGGGTTTTCAATCCTCAAGTTCGCTGTTGAGAGGGGTAGGAGCAGAAGCAGCAGTGCTGTAGGGGGCTCACCCCGGTTGCACAGGGTATGAACCCATCAGTGCTGGCCATCAGCCTGATGGAGAGTGTCCTACAGCTCTTCCAATAATTAATGTACCACCATGGGGGATATTCTGCGCTGAAGCTTGCGACTCTGTCCCCGTTTTAGCCAAATAGATTGGCTTATACCTAGTCAGAGATCACCTCAGGTGCGCGGGGTATGTACCCGTCAAGCGTGGGTCGTGGCCAAATAAAACAGACTGGATGAGAGCACAATCCGTTTCATTGTGTGCAATGCACCGTGCAGACCCCAGCAGGGTGTAGTAGTGTGCAATTTATTGTCTCAAAGTATCAAAACAACCCCAGCAGGGTGTGTGATATGGGGTTCCCCAGCAGGGTATCTGTTGTAGTGTAAATAATGCCAGTGGACCCCAGCAGGGTCTGAATAAATGACAGTAAGGTGTAATAACCCCAGCAGGGTATTCTGTATCTGTCACTCAGTGTTGTCAAATTGTCCCAGCAGGGCAAAACACAATATTGGGATTTGTATAACTGGACCTCACCCAGGATCACAGAGGTGGCCACAGAACAACCTCCAAAAAGCAGCACGGTAATAGGGGCAGTACCCCTGGCAGGCACAGGGTAATAAGCCCTTTAGTGCCTAATATGGCAGTAATGAGACAAAAGTGACTGACCTCTGAAGGATAATAGGATATAGCACTAGCTCTAATCTCCATCGTCTATCGTGTTCTGACAGGTAGTCTTAAGTGATATGGGTCATCCATTTGAGCATCCATTACCAGACATAGAGTCTTGCTGTAGATTCCTGAACCCTGATCTAGATGATATCCCTTCAAATCTCCCATCACTGATATGTACTTATATAGTACCATCTTGATTGTCTGTGTTGAAGGGTGCTATCCCTTTAAGGAATTCAAGGGTGATATCCCTGTAAGGATTTGGTATCCCTTTTAAGTAGTTCCAGGGTGGTATCCTTTTAAGTAGTACCGCTGTGGTATACCTTTAAGGAGTTCCCTCTAAGGGTCCAAGAAGGAATTTGAGGGTGCTAAGTAGCAAAACAGCCACCCATAATCTCACGAGACGCAGAGGGTAAAGTGGTCCCTGGAGTCTCGGTAGACGCGGGATCAAAGATGGCGGGACCACAGACTGCCCTGCAGGTAGTGGATGTTGGAAAGCATGGAATTTAAGGGTGCTATCCCTTTAAGGGATTTTTGGGGGTGATATCCCTTTAAGGTTCCAGTACCTCGAACCACTATACATGAGTACGACTCAAATCTGTAAATAATAGGCCAGTCAGAATACTTACCTTTGCCTGGATTCGAACTTGGGGTCCAATGTCTGTGTCAGAGCATCGTGAGCCACGAGAGCAGCTAAGCTAGCTGACAGCACCGAAATCGTAGTGGGCGAGAGTAGCAAAACGGCCGCCCATAATCTCGCGAGACGCGAGATTAAAGATGGCCGCCGAGGGTAAAGGAGGGGGAACATGATCCCTGGAGTCTCGGTAGACGCGGGATCAAAGATCGGGCTACCTCGTGGTTGCCCCACAGACTGCCCTGCACCAAGGTAGTGGATGTTTGAAAGCATCCAGCACATTACCGGGTGTACGGTATAGGGCAGCCTGAGAGAGCGAGGGCAGTGAGTCCGGTGTTCTATCAGTCTGCTATACTCCGTCAGATTGCTATACCCCCGTCACTTCCGGGGAGGGGAATCAGCTGGATCCTGTGCTGCACATGCGTGCTAGCACTCCTGCTATTCCTCCACAGCAAGGTCCTGGAAGGTAAGTAAAACTAGTTTTACACTTTCATTATAGTTAGTGCATTCACTAAGCTTAGGCACACTGGACATTTAGGGTTAAGTGAGGGTACAAATTAGGGTTAGGTAAGTGCTTCTAACCTCTCTCACACTCTATTCTTACACTAACCCTTTGGGTAAGGGTTAAAATAAAGTGTGAAAATTCACTATTTATTGATATTCCCCTAATGTGAAATATCACTAAATATGAACAAGTCCCTAATCCTAACCCTAATTTGAACCCTAACATTAACCCTAAATGTCCCGTGTGCCCAGGGCCGGTGCCACCTGTAAGGCGACCTAGGCAGCCGCCTAGGGCGCAACTTAGCAGGGGGCGCCGGATCCCTGCGCCCGGCGGCTCCTCATGCTGCGCCGCCTGAGCGCTTTTACAAGCCTCAGGCGGCGCAGCACTGCTGTGGAGGGCGGCCGGATTGGAGTGACCGGCAGGAGGGAAGCGCAGAGCGCTCCCTCCCGCCGGTCTCTCACTCTAGCGTGGCTGGGCGACGCGGGACAGGAACCTCTGTTTCCTGTTCCCGG